TTCTAATTTATAATAAATCCGATCGCTTTGTCAAACTGCTGCGGTAGACCGACCGCCCGTCGAGTGACAATTATTGTGTGTATATTTTTTGTCTGTGCAGCACGGGGTGCGACAAAGAAGGGGGTAGGKGTCAAAGATGTTTTTATATATTATATATATTTTTTATGAAATTTGTTGAAATAATTACAGCTTTTGAATAATTTTAGTTATTATTAGTAAAACCATAATATTTTTAAAAACTTAATATTATGTAGAAGATGCAATACATAATACTAAGTTTTTAAAATAATAGGTGATAGAACTTAAATTTTAGTATTTTACTAAAACTATTTAAATAAATTAACTATTCTCTCAACGTGTACATTAATTACAATGATACAAGTTTAATAATATGTACCAATTTGTTTATTTATATAATACCTACGCAAGATCATGCCTGGGGCATCATTATTCACATTAGTCATTATAAATTATAATATGAACTTCTAACAATATTATTTGAATTGCAGAACAGGGAAAAGRAGAAAAGCAACCAAAGACAACACCGAACACAACTGAGACAATACACTAATATCAGGTAATTAATACTATACAGAATGTCATTTTAGCGTAAATCGTATCGGAATTGCATTTAATACCTTTGAAACATAAGATTTTAAACATTTTGAACTTCGATATAGGCCCCGTATTTGATTGGTTCGTAAACTATAGATGTATATAGTATTCTAGGCTATAGAAAGATGTTATACATATAACAGTAATAAGTTCTAGTCTATTGATTTCGGCCACTATACCAGACATAAATTCGTTTGGAAAGATGACATTTTTGTTTTTATAATTAAATTGTGCAGCGTGTTATATCAGATTTTTCAGATCTCTATCTCATCCACAAATAAACACAACAATTTTAAACTGTATTCTTAAAACATAAAATAATTTAAATTTAGGAATGTAGTGGAAACTAGAAAATATAAACAGGAATATATGGCAACACTAAAAATTATTTATTCATATGCCTTTAAATTTTAACAATCATAATTATCTGTCGTTTTAGAAATAGAACATATTATACTAGAATTGTAAATTATAACACGTTACATCGTGTAATTTTGATGTGGTACCTTGGTAAATAAACTAAAATGTATTGTAATATAGGTAGTTTACTAAAACTGATTTGAATGCATGTGATGTCATAAATAATTCGCAATGTAGCGTAAAAATGTAAATTACTTGTATGTTTAATACTTCATTTTATATCCACATGGTACAATACTTACATTGTATACACAATTATTCAAAGCGTAATATATTTTAAAAAAAAAAAAAAAAAAAAAAAATAGTAGTATAACAATAATAATATATTATTAATAGAACGTATTATTAGGTAGTACCAAAACCAACAGTTCCCTCCCCCACAGTTCCACAGGCTAATGACCCTTGTTGTTGAAGCCTCAACCCCAAAAAAAAAAAAAAAAATAGAATAATTAGATAAAAAAATTACTTGTACATATTTTAAATTTTAATTGATGAATTTAGATTATAATTTATAATATTCCAAAGAGAAAAGTAGATAAATATGTTATAGTCTTTATGGGAATTATCAGGTTGTGTTGTAGGTACACAATTGTTTGTTAGACAAACTAGTGTGCTGTGGACTGTAGTTATGTGTTGATATGTTTGATTCGATTTTTTGTCACAAATTAGATTGAACAATCTACGATTTCACCGACTAAACGTATTAAAAGTATATAATAATACAGCGAATACTAATTTATACAATTGATATTCGGTTCACTGGTTCACATTAACCCATGTTTTTATTCTAAATTAATTCTCATCTAAAAAAATGTATCTATTAGTTCAGTGATTTGGATTTGAGTGTACGAGATTAAAATGTATTTGGGCCAATGCGGGTAACGTAATTTGGCATTATGATGAGAGTTGRAAATAAAAAGTCGAATAGAATACACAGTGTTCAAGCCTTAAGTGCAGAATAGTGGAGTAGGTAAGTATCATGTTATTTAAAATTTGCTAAATTGAATAAATTGTTTAATGATAAGGCCTTTATAGAATATCTACTTACAATATTATACTAGTTTACACGTTATATAAAATTCTCAACKTATAATAATTGAGTAACTATGGAGACTAAAATATTATTATATTGTTGTAGTTATTCGATATTTGTTTAGTATAATGTAACCGAAAAATCTTCATGATTGCGTAGTCGGATACTTCAACTTYATACTTATTTTATTTGTGTTTATGGTTCTGAGAATGTTTGTATAATGAAGATGTGTATAGWCATTTTTAAAAGTTTTGACTTGTGGCTATACATGTTTTATATACTTGGCTATTCTCAAAGCAAAGAGTATACATGAAAATTGTTAAATAGATTAACATTGGATTAATACGAATTAAAAGGAATTCGGGTGTGGTTTTATAGCTTAATCAGTCAAACCCTATTGCTGCTAGTATACGACTGTGCGTGAGAATGTTAACACGCCTACTATATAGTCACTGTTTAAAATTGTTTTCCCATTTCACCAAAAAGATAATGAAAAGTCTAATATCCGAACATTTGAATTATTTAATTCATAATTTGTATCCTCGAAGTTTTTTTACTCGTGTTTGAGCTTTAGAGACATAATTACATTGATCTTACGATTGTGTACGATCAGTGTAATTATGCCTCTGAACATTAAATACTTGTTAAGAAGAAAACCAACTCGTAATAATATTCGATTTATTTTATGCTTCAACATTTTTTGAAGAGTATTCTGATA